AAAATATATGGTTTTACACTCTACATATTTGTATTTGTACTTCTTCTAAATTGAGACTGAGGCTCAGTTTGGAAAGAGTATAGATACATATATGTACATTGCAAATGCATTTAAAACATAATGTTTTGCACTCTACATATTTGTATTTGTACTCTTTCCATTTGAGCATAAGTTGTGTTTGGTAAATTTGCACTGGTACAAAACCATGGTAGTGCAAATGATTTTGATGCAAATTTTTAATTTATTTTTATTTCAAAATTTATCTTATTTTATTTGATTGCAGTACAAATGAAGTAAAATAAGACGGTTGGACCATTCGGCCCGGGAACCATCCAAGCAACCAGTTCCGTTTTACCCCAAACCCAATCCTTGGCCAAAAATCGTAGAAGCAATCAACAATCCGTTGACCTGGATAGTCAAACCATCGACCCATTCAACAGCTTTTAGATGTTTTTTTTTTTATTTTGAAGTATTTTTATTTTTTATAATTTTTTTTGTTAAAATAGACTGTCCATTCAAACCTGACGGTCGAACCGTTGATACGGAAATTGGTGGACAGAACGAATCCGTTTTCGGGTCATTTTTAAAACCATAAAATAAAGTAAAACTCAAAACAAAATTAAACCAGAATTTGCATTCTTTTCATTTGCACTCTCATGCATTTGTACTAGTGCAGATGAATTGCACTACAACCAAACACAGCCTCAAACTCAATTTGAAAAGAATGCAAATACAAATATATACAAATATATGTACAGTATAAATATATACAAGGTTTTGCACTCTATATATTTGTATTTGCACTTCTTCTAAGCTGAGCCTAAGCTAATATAATATACTTTGATTTACAGGTTGGTCTGTTTCTAGAATTCAGAAAACCAGACGAAATCAGCCCATTCTTAAATACAGATTAGAATAAACGGCCCATTTTCATTTGGTTTGGTATAATATAATTTGGTTTACAGGTACTAGAATTCAAAAAACCCGACTAAATCAGTCTATTCTTAAATACAGATTAGAATAAACGGCCAATTTTAATTTGGTTTGGTCCGATTTGATTGGACCATATAATGAACAACCCCAGCAGCAACAAGAACTTTGTAGCCGACTCAAATAAGTACTAAACTAATGAAAAGAATTCTTAACAAAATAACAGATAATATCTATATAGTGAACATTCAGAAATTAAGAATGTCTGGAGTTGAAATGAATGCCACTTTTTCTTAAATTACATCCTTTATAGACTTATAGGATTCCATTTTCAGTTTGTATTTCAAGATTTATCAAACCCACTTGGGCCTTGGCATGCCCGATAATATACTAATTTTGATAAAAGCCCACTTTATTGGTTGTCAATTTTATGATGTCTGTTGATCGGTTATAAAATTTTTCAGTATAATGTATCTTTCAGTATAATAGTCAAATTTGATGAGAAGTAATTTGGTCCGATCAATCATGTTGTGATACATGATAGCCTTCAGGTGACATCTTGGCATTGAATAAGCAAAATAGCTCGGCAAGTTAGCTTGTAGCACCTCGTTCAGGCTGACCTCCACCTCGGCAAGGCCGAACTAGTAGACTCCATAAGATTACGGCGACCTACCTTAGAAGCCGGCCGAGCTGTAGAAGTCCATGGTGACCCGCAAGGAAAAGACCGTTGACCCATTCCAACAGTACGATACTAAGTCAAGATCCCCAGAGCGCTAATATCTCAACCGTTAGACCAACCTACCACATAGCACGCCTCAGAGTTACTCGGGTAGATCGTAACCCCTGTGCAGATCTCACAATCGGTACATTAACGCGCCTGACGAAGCGAATACGGTTCCGCAAGAAGCTCAGGCCCGTTACAAGAGGGCTTTGACCACTGGTGCCTGTAGAAGGCACTCACTTCTACCTGAAATGGTACGTGTTATTACACACTCACTAGCTCTCTCAAACTCGCAAAAGAATTCACAAACTTCTCTAACTGAAGCATTGGAGTGCCCTCCCCAAGTAAAAGACATCCAGGCACTCTAATTCTCTTTTTCTTGGAGTATATATCAGCTCAGCCACCTTTCAGCCCAGCCTAACACCTCGGCCCTGACCAGGAAATACCCAAATCCGAGTCCGAGTCATTAGACACGAGGGAGCTTCTAGATCGCGCGACATCAAAACTCTATAATATATTAATTGAATGGTTCTAAACATGGTTTTTAAAACCAAACCGAAAACGAAACCCCTTTGACCACAAGTCAAATGGTCTAACCTTCTGGTCCAAACCCCAATCGGACAATTTTAGGGTCCAAAACTGAACCTGGAGCCATGACCAATCAACTGGTCTAACTGTCTAATCCATTCAGTTTACAAAAACTTTGGTCATTAAACATGCATGTTTGGGAGTGCTTAAAAATAAGTGCTTATTTGGGCCATTAAACACTTATTGGTATTTGAGAAATAAACCCAAAATAAGTGCTTATTTTAAAAATAAGGGCTTATTTTTTAAGCCTAAATTTCCAGCGTTTTTTTAGTGCTTATACAATAAGCACTTATTCAATTTTTTCTTCCAAAATTATCCCTAGTTGAATTTTAAAATTTCACATAAAATTATACCTATTTGAATTTTATAAAATTACTTTTATGAAAGCACTTTTATGAAACCACTTTTACGAAAGTACTTTTATGAAAGCACTTTTATAGAAAAGCACTTTTATGAAAGCACTTTTACAAAATCACTTTTAGGAAAACACTTTTATGAAAGCACTTTTACAAATGCACTTTTATGAAAGTACCTTTACAAATGCACTTTTATGAAAGAACTTTTATAAAAACACGTATGAAATTACTTTTACAAAAATACTTTTATAAAAATATTTTCATAAAAGTACTTTTATAAAAATGCTTTTGTAAAATGCTTTCATAAAAATATTTTCTTAAAAGTACTTTTAAAAGATATATTTTGAAAATTAAAAAAAAAAAGTAAAGGACAAAATAATCATAAATGCTTATTTAAGTCCTTATTAGAAAAAATACTACCAAACGCTTAATATAAAATAAGTGCTTATTTGAATAAATATTTATTTTTAAACACTTATTCAATAAGTATTTATTTTCAACTTAACCACTCCCAAACATGGCCGAAGAGGAGATATAATAGATTTGTAGAAATATAAAAGGACCAACCTGGACATGAGGTATGGACATTATTGGAGTAGAAATGTGTAGTGTGTCTGACCCCTAATTCCTAGTTCTGCGAGAAGCGTTTTTATGTGGGTCACGGGCTGCGCATTTGAGGACAACAAGTACTTCGGCCTGCGTAATTGGAATTTTACGGCATAAAATCGTGCCGGACATGACCCCCAATTTTGGGTTGGGCCCCACGAGAAAACAAATAAAGCAGAGAACAGCTCATTGTCAGTAAATCGTTCAACTGACCATCACAAGCATCTGAACATTTATTCATTCCTGTGCCAAGACCACTTAAATTACCAAACAACTGCAATTTCAACTGTATCAAAACACTTAACAGAGGTTCCTTTCATGATAAACAAGTAGGGATGTGATTGGATCGGATTGGATCCAGTCAATCGATTTCAATGGCATTCAAGTCCATCGGGTTTTTGGAATTTTAAAATTTAGTCGAATCTATTTTATCATCTTTAAAGTATGAGTAAATTTCTTAAATTACCCTTATATATTTTTATTGGTTGATTATTGTCTAATGCAAATTTTATAATTGACTAGCTCTAACTTTATCGCTAATATTCTGTCAAAATTTGTATATACATAAGGTATAATTTTTTTAAAACTCAATATTACCCATATTGTCTTTTTCCTTCCATCAATAACAAACCGAACAGGCTTGATCCTTAACCAGTGGCAGCAATAGCCCTCTCCACCTCCAGCCTCTCTGTGTGTGTGGTGAGTTTGTTCTCCAATCTTTCCTCTAGGTATATACATTGGCGATGAACAAGTCATTTGCTTCTCTACTGGAGGAAATCCCTCGAATTACTTTACTCCTGCTCTACCTATCAAGATTTTTCTTAATGTTATTGCAGTGTGTTTTGTTTTCTTTGTTGCTCTCTCTCAATCAAATATTGGAATTTCACGAGGATGTTCATTTGGCTCGAATTGAACAATTGGTTGTCGAGCAGTGGCGGTCAGAACATGTTCTTGTTCCCAAAGATGGCCAAAGCAACTCGAGCCTATACGTCATCATAGACTTCGATGAACAGAGGAAGCTAACTTTGACTAAGTTTCAGCACTTTGACTATTAAGAGAGACCTGCAACCATAAGAGATGTCAAAGGCCCCGAGTGATCTCAAGGGCATGAATTCCGATGATTTAGTTCGTAATTACCAAGAAAAAAATAAAGTGAGTTAGAGAACTTGGTGAATTGAGGTGAGAGCTTGTTTAAAAAGCTAGAGGGCTTGTGATGAGAGCTAGTGAGCTCGTAAGGAGAACTGGAAAGCTCCATGTGATGAACTGAAGAGCTCGAGTTTGAGCTCTATATGCTAAGGTGTCTAGCATATCTTGTTTATAGTAATGTACTACCATGTTCAGTTGTTTACATGAATGGGGGACTCACCTATTCATAGGAGAGGGGCTTCATTCAAGAATCCTCTCACATGTGGTCAGAACTCAGTTCACTTGTTGCGCCCTTAATTGATATATATGCATGTGGTAGGTAGTGGGCCACGCTGACATTGATATGCGTTGCTTGTGCATGTTAGATCAGCTCGTCAATTGACAATTTGCCCCCAACATACTGCCACTTGGCGGTTTCTAACTGGTAGTCGGTTTTGATCTTATGAGATTTAAATTTAACCAACTAGTTCATCGGAAGACCCTGCCGCATAAGAGCAACTCCCGACTCTCGATTGATTCATCAGATCTTACTCTTTTAATCAAAGCCGGAAGCCAGACCTATCATATCGGACGGTTGAGATCGCTTAAAGAATAAAAAAACGAATAAAGGTGTGGGACATTTGTGTAACATATCTAGTTTTATTAAAATAAAATAAAAGAAAAAAGAAAAGGCATAATACATATAGTAAGCACTACTCACACCTCAAGTCAGTCGACGAACAGTGACACAGACTCTGTAACAAGTGCCGACACTTTCACCGTTCATGCACCGTATCATCATTTTCGTTTATTTTATTTTTTACTACTCCTTATTAATTTTTATATATTTTACAGAGGAAAAAACAAAAAGAAGAAAAGGATTTGCTCCGGAAAATCACACTCACCGATCACACACTGTATACAATAACGAAGCAAGGAAGTACAGCCCTCGGATTGAAGACGAAGAGCTCATCTTCATCCAACCTGGAGTTGACTCCGCTACCTCTGCCGACGACCGAGTCAAACACGGACTCGTCTTTATGGGCCACATCTTCATCACATCCGATGATTCCGATGCGACCCGCCACAACTCGGCACACCAGTATGGCACGCTTCACATTCATGAAGGCGAATTCCTCTTCAATCTCATCGGGCAGCGCCACGTGTGCTCTCCAGCTGCTCGATAGCGTCAATATGCCGTCCATCTTAGCCGAGAACCCCGACCTTATGATCCCGCAGATGCTGCAGAACTGTTGAGTGCAGAGACTAGAATTCCCGTTGATTCCCAAATCACAAACAAAAGTCGAACAGTGGAATCTCAACAGTTCGTTACCATCTGCAATGCACCTTTCATCTCGTTTTCTAACCCCGTTTCGTGCAGCTTTCAGTTTCACGTACTCCCTGTGCTCTTCGAACCTCGATAGTATTTTCGAGCTGTTATGGATTTTCAGGATTCGGTGAATCGTGGGGTTCTTCTCTTTATCCTTCCAACCCGTTTCAAAGATGATTTGAACGATATTTTTCCCTGAATCGCCATCCACGAGCTCTGAAATGGCGTGCTTGAGAGATTGATGTTGTTCGAGAAGTTGGTTTTTGGGGAAAACCTCTCCACATATAGGGCAGGGGAATATATCGTTTCGGAGGGGAAACGAAGATTGGTCGACCGAGATATCGGTCTCTTTACGAGAAGGAATTGGTCTCTTGAGCGGGGAAGCTGAGACAATAGGTTGAGGCATCAGTTGCTGTGACGATCTTGCGGATGATAAAATTGGTGTTGTGGGGTGGGTTTCAATATCTTTCTTCTGATTCTTAAAGGAGAAAATTCGTTTGAGATAGGACCAAGATGAAGACAGAGTTTCATGAGATTTAGACTTCGGACGAAGCGGAGAAGGAGATTGAGTGGTTTGAGGAGATATCTTTCGCTTCTTTGATGAGGGACCATCTGCGGTGGTGAAAATGAAGCAACCCAAATGAACAAGAAGGAGAACCAGAGCAGCGAATTTGTTCAAGAAGGAGCAAATAGTGGCCATTGCTACGCGGGGAGCTGGAGCTGGAGCTCTGAAAGGGCCATCAACAAGTTGTCGGAACAATGGAACAATACTAGAGAGAAAGAGATGAAGGGTTAGAAATGGTGGAAGAAGAGTATTCCAATAAAGGTAGAATGAAAGCAGAGAGTGTTGAGGTGGGGGTCATGGAATGGAAGAATAAAGTGGAGAGTCGGTGCAACGCAAGCTCGTATTTCCCCCCCTCCCTCATCCCATCCCCTTTTTTAAGATGGTTGGTTATCTGAAATTTCCCACACTTTGTTGGGATTCTCGTAAATTTACTCCAACTTTTTTATAATTAGTACCTTTCCTGTAGAAACCCAATCCTTCTAGTGTTACACTTTTTAAAGAAGTTACCTTCGTTAGTTCACGGTCAGTGCTTAATTGCTTATGAGAATTAAAAACGGTCCACATGTTAACCTTGACCGAAAATAATCCTATTAACCGACTTTTTTATGAAACAAAAAACCACTGTTTTCAAAACCGGACCGGACGGTCGGATCGGAAAAAACAGGAACTGGTATCTGACTGGTTTTGTTTTCTTCAAAATCATTGATTTTGGTTAGTAAACTGCTGAACCTGTTGGTTAATCGTTAGAACCGTTTGAACGGTTTTGACCGTTTTCCAATTTCTTAATTTTTTAAAAATTTTTTAAAATTTTTTATTTTTTTATCAGAATGAGCCGGCCATTTGAGTCGAATGATCGAACTGTTCGAACCGGTAACCGGACCCCTGATCGATTTGTTCACCGGTTCATTTTTAAAAACCATGCAAAAAACAGGTTCATTTTCTCTCCTCTGTTTTATGTTCATAACTCATCTACAGTTCAACTCACCTTCTCATTTTGACCGCTTTCCAATTTCTTAATTTTTTTTTAAATTTTTTAAAATTTTTTATTTTTTTATCAGAATGAGCCGGCCGTTTGAGTCGAACCGGTTACCAGACCCCTAATCGATTTGTTCACTGGTTCGTTTTTAAAAACCATGCAAAAAACAGGTTCATTTTCTCTCCTCTGTTTTATGTTCATAGCTCATCTACAGTTCAACTCACCTTCTCATTTGTTTCTTAAATGAAATAGGCTTCAATTTTTGGCATTCATATCATAGATCAACCAAATGATTTCGGGTATTTTGGTTTAAAGGGTAGGGGTGAATCAAGGGCTCATTAAGGCTATGTTTAGTTTGAAGAAAAAAAATAAGGAAATGAAGAGAAAGTTGCCATTCCCTTCCTTTTCGTACTTTTTCCTTCAAACCAAACACGACCTAAATTTAAAAAAATTAATCGTAGAAAAATAAAAATGAACTTTCAAAAGAAAAATAAAACCCTTAAACTTGTTAGACCCCTCTCGTTCCCATATATGATCATTATAATCCCTTTCATCATGATTTTCTAATTGAATATTCAACTCATACCTCGAGATCAATTAACTAATCTTGAATTTATCAAGGGATGCACAATGACTTTAAATAATCTAACATATGAAAGCTGGTATGACCAAAATAACCCAACAATCACAATGCTCACTTAATTGTATAGCACGCAATACACAAGTACACATTACAAGGGGCTCAAGAGTGTGGATAGAAGTAGAACAAGGTGCACAAAGAGGCCTATGAATATGAACTGAATCGTGCTATGAAAAGCTTGTGGTTTTTTGCATGCTTGATCTTGTGATTCTTTTCTAGATAGATGTCAAGTGATTAGACTTGTTCATGGGGTGGACCATGCTTTGCCTCTATATAAACAGAAAATTATTAGAATCGAGTTTGAGCCCGGTCTAATCATCGGGCCTAGATCTTGATACCAAGCCTGGCCCTATATAAAGCTTGAAGCCCGACTTTGATAGGAATTTTATAACACATTAATTATATATTATATAATATTTTATACATTTAATATATTTAATACTTTTTTTGCTATTAATTTTATTATTATATAATATATATTATGTATTATTTATGTTATATATTTAATATTACCAAGTTGAGCTCGGGCTCGAGCCAGTCTTATTTGAGAAAGCTTGAGCCCGAGTCCATAGGCTTAAAATTTTGTCCAAACATAATTTAAGACAGATCGAGCTGACCAGCCCGTCAAACTACTTGGCCCATGAAGAGGACTACAAGTGATCATCTCAATGCATTAATCTTAATCATCCAAATGTTTGCCATTCAAAATGGTACCAAATCAAGATAAAAATCTAGGATATATCAAAATGGTGTCCTAAGAAAAAAGAACTAATCTTGGCCATTCAAATATATCAATTTCAACTAATCTAACCATTCAAGTAAGTCACCTTTTTTTTTTGTGTGGAAAACCTAAGCCAAATAAAGTGATGCACCAAACAACACCTAAAATATGACCCTATCAAAATGGCACATCCTAAGATCAATCAAGTAATTCAAAAAGCATCTAATCATTAATACTAGTAAACTACTTTAATGTGCATCCTGATATGATGACTTGCTACTGATCCTAGAAGTTGATATTGATGGTCCATATGTTTGGCATGTTTGGTTTTGAAATCCTGGTTATATTGCTTAAATGTCCAAGATTAGCGTATTTAAGTAACCAAAATAATTTGTTAAGACCAACGAAATAATCTTGACAACCCGATTGATACCATGTTTTCAATTAACCTAAACCATCCAAATCATTCAGTCCGCATTTTTTACTTTAAAAGCATAAAAATTATATGAACAATTAACTAAATAAAGTAATATTTTCGTTTATTATTAATATCATGAGGGGATTCCACAATTTATAAAAGTACAAGGGGTAAACATGACACCCACAAAGTATAAGAACTTCCCTTTAAGTCTTTAATTTGCTCTCTTTTCTTTTTCAAATTTTCTTGATTCCGTCCTCCTCGCGCGCGCGCGCGGTATTTGGGAATTGAAGCTTGGAAGTTTATGGTTTCCGAGGAGGAGTGATAATAGTGGAGACCGGAGATGGAGGGAGAGTCGAGAGAGAGAAGTGAACCTATGGTGTAGAGTGGGAATCTCGTGCAAGGGTTGTTGTCCTCATTTGTGGATGAAAGCCGTTGGATTGGAATGAAGATAAAAAACCTGGATATAGACTAATAGCCTATAAGGAATAGGCGTACAGCTAAAAGTTACGGTCGTTGCATGACTATGGCAAATGGCAATGTACCAACACGTGAATGATGATGACTGTTGACACGTGGGACCAAGTAACAGACAGAGGAAGGGTCCCACATTAAATAATTTTTTAATACTTGTTGGTGATTGATTGATTGAATGTGTTTTGTTTTGTTGGTGCCTGTGTCTGTGTCTGTGTGAATCCAAATTTCCAATCCATATGTTCCATCCCCTCCCCTCGTTCAGTTTTTGATTCCATCCAGGCTCCAGGTGTTTTTTGACTGCAAAAATTCTAAATACTTGTTTGGCCTTTGGCGCCTTTTCACCTGATTGCTCTGCTCGTGACAGTGCCAGTGCCGGTGCCACTCGCCACCTGCATGGTTAAAAACTGTTCAGACTCCAGAGATTCTTATACAGTTGTACACACACTCTCGGACAGTCGGATTCGGAGTCGGACCCTTTCTTTTCTTTTAATTTCTTTGATTGAAATGACTTTCCCTTCCAACACTTACAAAAGTTTACACTTTACAGTGATGTACCCAAATCATTACCCAAACGGTCAAACATTGGATTTGGAAGTATGATGTATAACCCAGCCTCCAGCAAAAGATGAACTTAATTCTTACATGGCAGCAGGTGAGCTTCCTGCACTCGATTTCGTATATGACAATAAGATGCTCTTCCAATCAGAACATGCCACATCATATTTCGCATGACACTTTAACTTTCAATAAATTAAAAAACATTTGAGCATGATCTTATCACATATCTCAGATATGGTGGGTCCTGATATCAGGGTGGATGTATGGACAAAGATCGCGTTGGAAGTGTGTTTGGACAGCTTTTATTTTTGTGGGGAACGGATTGAGATCCCATCCATGCCTCCATGAGTTTTAGGCAATAGCGTAAACAGTCTATGCTATCGCTGTAGAGTGTAGACCCCAAGATGGGAACATAATAATCATGGTGCCGTATACCCCATCCCATTGCAATTGATTTCATTGTGGGCGCCAATGTCTTAGCAAGTGGATGTGGAATCTTTGCTAGTGCCTCCATGCATAAATCCTGCCGTTGTCATCTGGGCATGTTATGTTAGTACTCACTACTCAGTAGTCAGTTCAATCATTCTTTTTCTAATGGATGACATGAATTATGAGTTGTATTGGAAAATTGGACGTTGAAGATTGGAATCTCTATTAAAGGGTAAGACTACTCAGTGCACAATGAGGGAGGTCTTTATCCAAACAAAGTTAAATACAAGCAACAACTAAAGGTAAAAGATTATAAAACGACAAAATTGATTTTTTTTTCCTAAAAAAATCATCCTCACATGATGTCACGTGCAAATGGATCTTGATGGATTGTTATTTGTTAATAGAGAGCATGTATTTATCAGTGATAGATCAGAGAAGAGAACAAAGGATTTCTTGTCCAATTTGAAAGCACAAGTAAGATTTAGGTGTTGTTGAGCAAGTATTTTTTTGAAAGATTTTCTAAAAGATTTAACAGTCAAAAAACATAGTGGGTTTTTATATAAAGATCGTAACAGTTTATTGTAGGGGTGAGTAAAAAAAAAAAAAAATTGAAAAACTGAATCAACCGAAACCAAATCGAAAAATCAGTTAATCGAACCGATCGGTTTAATGTTTTTAAAGAAATCAAAGGTACTGGTTTGGTTTCAGTTAACCAATATAGAAAACCAATGGTTAACCTTAACCGAACCGACCAGTATACATATATTTCTATATATTTTATATTTTATATATTATATGTATTATATTTTTATATATTATAAATTAATAAATATGCATTATATATATTTATGATATATGATATATTATTTATTATTTAAAATATAATGTTATATATATTTATATATATTTTTATAATATATATTGTAAAAATTTAAAAATCGAAAAACCAACGGTTAACCAAACTGGTCAATTAGTTAACCAATTGGCTTCAGTTCGGTTTCGATTACTGGTTTTCCAAAAACTAGTAGTACCGCTTAGGTTACAAAAAAGGCCCACGGTTCAGTTAACCAAACCGTGAGCACCCAAAGCTTATAGACCATTTGGTTGGAGGTGTATCTTTCCATGGGAAGACAAGACAAAAAAAAAAAGCGAAAA